GGGCAAACTGTAAACGAGCCTATTTGGTGAGAACGTGCAAAATGTGTGTGTGCTGAGAGAGGGTATTTTGAGAATTTAACTAATTTCTGAATAGTAAAGGCATCCAGTCTGGCTATAATTGGTGCCTGTGGCAATTGTTGATACCCTGACTACATTAGCTTTCTGTGCCCTTTAGCAGAATTGGGAAAACATTTCTAGTACTCGTTAAGCTGTCTATTATCAAGCCTTCATAAATATACACATTTAGAATAGAGATGATTTGCTATCCCAGTGCCTTAGAGCGCTTAAATAAATTAGTTCTTACTATTTCAGGCATTAATTTTGCAGTAATTATGCATGAAGCAATAATGCAATTAAAATTGCCTTCCAACTTGCTTGAGTGGGAATAATTTTTGAAAATAATACTTGATCTTTTCTCAAAATACACTCTAGAGCAGGTGGATGTGCTATGTAGCTCAAAACAGCAGAGCAGGACTGTTCTACCTTGAGGTCCTCAGTTTGCCTGCAGCTGAAGTCAATATTAACCAAGTATTACCATCTGTTGGCTTTTGCTGACCTCTGGTTTATTCCCCTCTCCCCTTTCTCTAGTGGCAAAGTGCCCACATCACAGCTGGCATTGAGTGCTTCAGCAGTGGGGTTTCTTATTTAAAGAATGCAACCACACTTCAAGGCAGGAAACATGGGCTAGCTTTCAGTTTGCAACGTTCCAGTTTCTTTTTGCACGGTACCTACATGTTTGCAATATCTGATATAATAAAGCACAGCAATGTATCAGCCCAGATTTCAGTCTTAGGTCTGAATCTCTACATTTAAATTGGACCTCTTGTTTCTTGGGAGAAAAGTATATATTTTGTAGTTGAGTTACAAATAAGCTTTTCCAGCTTTTTGGCAGCTAGGTAATAGTTGAAGTGAAAAGATTTCTTTTTCCAGCCAGAAAAGAGGTTTAATAACTGTGGGTCCATTTGTTCATAGCAGTACTGGAGCTGAGCCCTGAAAACCCCTGGAGCTTGGCAAGCCAGGCAGACTTGGCAAGTTTTCCTACCAGCTTACTGAGTCCGAGTCAAGCATGGCTTGTTGCAACTTCAAATATGTTTAGTACATTTTGTTAACATGAACATGAAGGTGGAGGGTTTGGGGTTTTTTTTCCCTTTGCTGACATTACAGTATACCATGCTCTCTCTACAAGCAGCTGGTCCTTAAACTATGCATGGCAGTTTATGGCTTGTGTTAAATTCAAAATAAATGTGTATTTTATGCAGAGTATCTGATTTACTTTTGATATGAAGATATTGAGCAAGTATGAGACAGTATCCCACAGTCTTTCTGTGAGCTGGCCTTTGGTAGTGTGAATCTGTGGAAAAAAACAAGCATAGCCATTACTTTTCAGTGCATCATAACAGTGATAACTTTTGCCCTCTGTTTGGGGCCTGTGATGCTTGAAGACTTGTGTTGGAAATGCTCTCACTTCTAATTTTTACCTGTGTGGATACAGGTAAGAAGAATGAAAAAGAGTTCAAATTGGAGTTTTGAATTGGCCAGACACAGAAGTTTCTAAGTGTTAGTTCTTGCCTATCCAAGTTATATCAGCCTTTGAAATAGAGAGCAAGCTTTTCTGTAGAGGAAAATTCTTTCCATGTTGAAAGATGCTGCAAAAGACTCAAGACAGTGACGGCTGAACACCTATTTACTCCAGTCAGACAAAGCCATCCCAGTATTCTCCTGTATTGATTCACTCATCTCCATGTGGTGTTAGCAGGGTCTTTAGCGAATTCTGCACCATGCAGTTGTGGCAGGGCAGTACATCTTGAGTAGAAAGAATTGGTCTGATGAATGGGTGTTTTTCACTTGTACTTTGAGAGTCTGTCTGCTGGTCTCTAAGGCATCCTAACAGCTCTGCTCTTCCCAAGTTTTCTGTGATTTCTGTCATCATTATTGCTAATATTTTTGTTGGGAAATGTGAATAAGAATCCAAGACGTTAGATTTGCCTGGTTTAGGGCTTGTCTTCTAGCCATGGGCTAGCTGCAGAAAGTCTGGCTGCTTTGTTTTACCCTCTTGATGGATAATCAGCTATGTCTGTTGCTGGAGGACTGGCTGTGGGAAGCTATGGTTTCAGAAAGCAGTTGTTTCCTAAGCAGCACGAGCCAATGTAATAAAAGGCCTCATCATTTGCTACCAAACCTTTGAAGTTTGCTTTGCCCAGTGGGATCTAGAAAACTGAGTGGAGCACAGTCGGGTTGCCAACTAAGCCAGATAGGCTTCTGATTTGTGAGCTATTTATTGTTTCTAGAATTGCTGCCCTCATTCATCGTTGCTATTAATTGCAAGCCTGGAGATGATAAATGCCTATATCATTATTGCTAAATATCTGGGAGCATGCTTTTTCAAAGCTTGGATTCTTCCTAGAAGAAACCCTCAAGTTATTAACTTGAGCACCCCAAATAAATTGTGGTTTCTCTTTGGGACCTCAGGCTTTGTACCAAAGAGGTTTCATATGTTTCTTTTGAAGGGCTGATACGTAGAGCTGGCTGGAACACTGAAAGGGTGAGAGTGTGACTGGCCAGTGTGCTGCTTTGGGCCATTAATTGGGTCCTTAGAGTGAGATTTAGAGACTATTCCTTCAAAGTTTCAATGCAATAGAACTGATGATAAAAACTTGGGATGTAGAGTGTGTCTTCTGTCCTTTTTCTGGACAGAGCTGGTGAGGTGAATGCTTAAAGGCTCTTTTAATTGAATGCATGTTTGGCAATGGGGAAGAAAGAGGCCCTTTTTTTTTAGGAAACCTAAGAAATATTTTGCAGTTTATGCTAGGCTGGTGCATTTCAGCTAAGTGGTAAAGGAATGAAGCTGTTGGCCCTTAAGAAAGCTTACAAGGGCACTTGTAAACTACAAGCTCCAAGAAGGGCAGCAGGTATTGAAAAGCGTGAACTTCAGAGTAATATAGTGAAAAATAAATAGCAACTCGCTACTCGAAAGAGCAGCTGACAGTTTAAAAAATTACAGGAAGTAATTTTAAATAGATGACCAACTGTGCAATGAGATGAGTTGGAATCAGTGTCATTGTTTCTTACTTGAACAATGAGAGTTCACTAGAACAAATGATTAATTTCAAACAAGAATGGTGATATAATAGCTGTAAGAAGTAGAGAAATAAGAGTTCAACTTACCTGGTTTCTGGTCTTTGAGCAGTGGTAGTTCTCTGGCAGACTCATCTGGTCTCCAGCTTTCCTTCTGTGATTTTTTTTCAAATTGCCTTTTGCATCCACAGCATCATCTGGGAGACATTTCCATAGGCCAGCCATGTATCATGTGAGAAGGTTTCACTTTTTCCTTTTTTGTAGCATGTGAAATTCATGTCTTGCAGCACTGCCTATTTGAATAGCTTTTTGAACCTATTTGTTGTTCTTCCCAATCTTCCAAATAACATTCCATGAAGTTGCCTCTGTCCATGTTGGAGTGCCAGTCTGTTTAGATATTGCATCTATGAAAAGAGTGGTAGGTCTTGATGCAGTCTCATTTTCTTCTTGGTTTGTTTGGGCTTTTTTTTTTTTTTTTTTTTTTCCTCCCTGATTATTCTATATCCATTTTGGGTGGGAGCAGGGAAGAGATCAGATGATGTACAGCTAGCTGCTTTTTATCTGAGGTGTTCTGCTAGGCCACTAATACTGCACTAGTGAGCCAGAGAAAAATGATTCTGGTAGGAGAGTGCTGCCCAATGAGTGACAGAATGGTATCAGAAAAGATACCTGGCACTAAGTGCCATGGGCTCTCAGGGAGTGGGAAGGGAATAGGCATGGTTATCACTTGACTGGTCTGCAGAAGATCGTGCATCCAGTGCAATGTGGACTTGTAAAGTAAATGCAACACAAAATATGTTGAAATGGTGGTTAGAGGGAGTGTTCTCACATGCAATACTGAATTAATTTTGAACAAAGTTACATGGTGTACTGTGGATTTTGAAAGGGATTGTAGCCAGAAACTCTCCGAAATCTTTTGTTATCTAAAAAGCCTAATGGTTTCACATGCATACCTTTTCAGGACACCCTTAAACTGCTATTGTTCTTCCAGTTTCCAATTTACTTGGTAAATGGTCATTCTTTTCCTTCTTTGTTATATTGTTTCCTAAGCTTCTTTCAATGTGCACTAGGAAACTTTGTTCCAACCCAGTACAGCAGTTTGTGCTTCAAAAAGGTGCTTAAGCAAGATTAATAGGCTCAAAGAAGCTGCATCCACAGAAATACTGAAAGGAGTTTACCTATGCACTGAAGCTTAAAGCTGTTTCCTAGGATTGTGTCATTACAGAATCCCCTCAGTTGGAAGGCAACTTGAAGTCCATCTAGTCCAATCTTCTGTTTAAAGTAGGGTGAATATTAGATGCAAACTAGGCTGCTCAGGGATTGTCCAGTTGTGTTTTGTAAACTTGTTGAAGGATGAAGACTCTGCAGCCTATTTTGCGACCTCTTCCAATTTTAATTGTTTAAGAGGTCGTTTATTAAATAAGAATGTTTGCATCATTTACACAGTAAAATTATAATCGTGATCATGTAACTGACAAGTAGATATCATTGTAATTCTGGGACAGTAAACTTGCAACACAAGTTAAGCAGAACATCCATCAAAACACAGTTATCTTGAAAATTCTGGTCTTTACCAAACATGATGAAAATGAAGTTAGCTTCTGGCTTCAAGCATGTTAATTTGCCAGCGATAAGGGTTTTGTAGTAGTTTGATGCCATCTATTTTTTTAGAGTGATGATGTAAATACAGCAAATTTCTCCATGGCCTGAGTATTTTATTTTAAACAGGGAGTACTCTGCCAGTATTTAAAATGTAGGACTTGAAAATAACTGCCTGGCACTGCTGATAATTATTTTTACAGCATGACAAGCATCTGTCTGTCTCCAGATGGTGGTCTGTATTCCACATCCTTCTTCTCTACTGCAAATGGAAGTGTGTACTGCAGGAGCAATCTAAAGCTTTTTGTAACTTGTCTCTTTTTCAGCTTTGGTTTGCTTTCGTTAATGGATTTTCTGGGCAGATCTTATTTGAGCGATGGTGCATTGGTCTGTACAATGTGGTAAGTGCTGCTTGTTTCAACTTGATAGTGCTTGGGACTACTGTATTATTTTGTTGTGCCCCTTTTTTCACAGGTAGCTGTCCTAGATGTATGTCAGGAAAGGTAAGTTCATTTGTAAAAGCCATTTTGAATCCACTCTGAGGTAGGGAAAAAAGATTTTTAAATAACACTTTTATTGCAAAATTGAAATTTGAGAGAACATCTTAAAAATAGATGTTTAGCCTAATATAACCTGCATAAAACTCTGCAGATATTAGATAGAATTTTATTTCCTCTTTGAAAGCATTTTCAGTGTTTTGTACTAAATATTTTGGTGACAATTCATGCTCGGAATACTCCTAATCTCTGAGTTTTGATGAATTTTTTCTCTCAGACCCTGTAGAGTTAAATGCTGAGAGAAGTGTTATGCAGTTGCTTTGGGTTGGCCTGTGCTTCATTAGGTACAGGAGAAGCTGCATCACTGTGTCATCAGCGTTTTGCCCTTGAAACAAGAGCAGGCTGTGTCAGTCTGGGAGAGGTTTCTGATTTTCAGCATGACCTGCAGAGTGCCATACTGTGCCATATGATTTTATTGCTTTAATCAGTAATATTATGTAATTGATCACATAGATTAAAGTCTGAAGGATCTCTGAAACCAAGTTCTGTAGCATACCATAGACCTGTGTTGATGTTTTTGACAGTGTTACCTTTGCAATGTAACGAGTGGCCCAGTGCCTGCATTTATAAGCTGTTAGGATACTGTTAGTTTTGAAGAGTCTCTTTGCAGAGAAGGAATTTAATTTTTTTTTCTTTACTCATTCCAAATATATGCTAATACAAAAAAATCCAGCAAATTATCACTGAGTAGTATTAATGGAACCACTTAACTTCTGTCACATTAATTTTAAAAGTGATGGCACAAGCCCCCATACTCCATAAGATTTCATACTCTTACTTGAAGATACTTATTCAAGGATTTATCAGTCCCTTGAATCCTTTCACCCTAATTTCCTGACTGTTATGCAGTCTTTGTCATTCATGTTTAGATATTTGCATCTATTATCTTTAAACCTCATTTGATGTATCTATCTAGCCTACCTAAAGCTTCTGGATAAAATTCATCTTCTGTAATCAGAAACTAAACCTTGTTCTGTACCCTCAGCCTGCTGCCATTTTAGCCATCTGGTTTATCACTTCATGAGCGAAGACGTGCAATTCCCACTGGACTGAGGGTTGTAATTACTGATTCTCACTCGTCTCTGTTCTTCCCCATTGTTCTTTGTCTGCTCCCCAGCTGCCAGCATGCTGCTGGTGGGAATCACAGCCCACCTTCTCCAATGTGTACACGCCCTAGAAACAATTCATAACTCCAACCTGCCTCTTAACTTCAAGAACACTTCTCAAACTGTTAAAAATAGATGTATGCATGGGATTAAAAGTGATGTTTCTGATATAAACCATTGATGTAAAAGGAAGTGAATGAAGTTTAGTGTTCAGACTTGCACCCTGGTGTTACTTTCATTCTGTGCCTGCAATGTGGACCACAAGAAACATGGATACCCAAGCTAGTTTTAAATGAGCTGCCTCGGATCCTGGAAACACTTTAAGAGCAGCAATGTTAAAGTCAGTGGAGGCTAATTTACTCTGCTTCTGGCAGAGTGTCCTGCTGCCTGTCTTGGAAGGCTTCCGAGGCTTGGCCATCCAAGCGTCTGCCTGTAGCACAGACACACTGCAGTTAATTTGTTCCTATCAGTTCATGCCTGCCAGGGGAATCCCCAAAGTACCATAATGCAGAATGGCCTTTGTTGCTCAGTAGATTTTTTTTTTTAATATGATTTCCACATTTACTCTGTCTGTAAACTTAGCAGTGGTTAAGCACATTGCATATCTAATTATGGCTACAACTGCAGCTATATTGGAAGCTATTCCCACAAGACTATTATGTAAAAATGCATATTGTCTTTCCTTTGCAGTCTGATGTGTCTGACCCTCGCTGGGTTAGCTGGTACATCAGAAACTAATGATGCTTAATTTCTTGAGTTTAAGTTTATTGGTTAATAATGTGAATTTTCTTTCATGTTTATTTTGTTCTTAAGTCAAAATTTGATACAAATTAGTGAAATTAATGTTTGGAATTGTTTGGACCATTGAGAATTATGTCAAATAATATCCTAGGGAGTAGTAAGGCTTCACTGAAATCTCTGGGAATTTTGCTTTTGTCTAGATAAGGAAACATTATATGAGATACACTTAAAACTAAGAGCTGCTTTCAATTAGTATTTGCTTTCCTTGCAGATTTTCACAGCACTGCCACCCTTTACTCTGGGAATTTTTGAACGGTCGTGTACTCAAGATAGCATGCTTAGATTTCCACAGCTATACAAAATTACACAAAATGCAGATGGTTTCAACACAAGGGTAAGGGAAACCTTGTTACTCTAAGAAAAAACATAAGCATTCTTATATTCAGGTTTTCCTTGTCAGAAAATAACTTATTTCCTGATGTTACTTCTGCTTTATGCTAACCACTGAGAGTGATTGTTCAGCCTTCCAGTTCTTTCCAAGAGATTATTTTTTATTTAAATAAAAACCATCTTTGTTTATAAATAAGGGTTTTCTGCTGCAAAACTGGTTTCACCTGAAACTGGTCCTGAAATACCCATGAACTTTGATTCAAAGTTAGATTCATATCCAAGTATGATTTTTCGATTCACAGCTACTGATAAGTCATGATGACATCGCCTGGATTTATTTAACATGTGTATTGTCATAACACTCTCTGCTTTGGGTGCTTTTTCATAGTTAGTATAGCTGTGTTCCACTAGTTCCTTTGGAAAATAGAATTTGAATTGGCTTATTTGGATTTCTGAGTTTTGAAGAACACATTTTACTCTATTTTGCTATTTAAATGCTGGAAAATGCCAGCATTTGGTATTGTGCCTTTTCCATAATAAGCATATCTAAATGTACTTCTGAGTCAAGGAAGCTGTATGATTGCTTTGTTTGGAGACGAAATTGTAGAATACATAAAACTCTAGTTTGTGCAAAATTGCATTATCTGCTAGTTAAAAACTGTGGGGCACAAAGTATTTGTCCATTAAAAGGAAATAGAACATTTCATAATGCTGAATCACTCTTTTAAAATTATTCTTTGAGGAAATTAAGCAAAGTTAACTCAATCTGTCTGCTTTATTTCAATAAAGATCCTAAACTGAAGCATACTTGCCTATTATGCTTCAAGTTGGTAGAATAAAATGATTAAACTGGACCAGCGTTTTCTTGTGAAAGAGCAGAAATTGTAGGAGAAAATAGATCCTGCAGAAGTGTAGGTATTTCACTTCAGGACAAACATTTTCTGACTCTAAACTACACAATGAAGTGTTTGTTAGGAGTTAGAGAGAGGTCAAGAGTTTTGGACTTTACTGATGGCTTGGTTTGTTTTCCCTCAGGTTTTCTGGGGTCACTGCATCAATGCCCTTATCCATTCCATCATTCTTTTCTGGTTTCCACTGAAAGTGCTGGAGCATGGTAAGGGCTTCATTATTTCTTACGTCAGTAACTGATGTTCAGTCTTACAGAACCAGTGTGTTTGCAGAAGGGGGGGTCGTGACAAGTCCCAAGAAATAATGCTGCCAGACAGTTCAATAGTCTTTAGCTGCTGAGCCTGGCGGGTTGTCTAGTGGCTTTCAGAAATTATTCTAATTTAACAAAATTATTGTTCATATAGTGACTTTAATAGGTGAAAAATGAAACTACTGCTTTGCTAAGAAGTCTTACAAAAATACTGAGTGATGTTTCACAAAATGCCAATTTTTTTATGGTAATATATTGAGATTCCAGCATTTGATTAAATAATATTCTTACAGCAGCTGCCTTAGAACTATATAGTTTGCTATATATCTTGCTGGAACCCTCCCATTCCATAATGCGCAGCTGTGAAAAAGAATTGGCTGGAATGGAAGTAAACCAGATCAAGAGTCAGAGGTAGTGGGGAAATGAGACTCTTTGGTGTACAAATTAGGGTTATTAAGTCATGCTTTTCAGGATAATGCAACTACATGGTATCTCGGGGACCAGTAAATCCCATATGGCTCCTACCTAGCTTTCCAGTATAGTTGTGTGGGTGGGAAGAACCATAGGAAATCTGTTCTTTGATTGTAGTAAGAAAGAGGGTTAGATCAGATGAGGAATTTAGGGCTGGTGAAGAGAATATTTATCTGAAATAATAAATTTTTCACAAGTGAAACTCTTTCCTGGGCAGCACTGATTTTTAAGGAAACCTTCTCAGCTGCAGAATGGATTAATTGGGGAGGAAGTGAAAAGGGAGGAAAGATGAATGTTCATGTCAGAGGCATGATAATAAAGATACTTGTGGGGGTTAGGTTCATGTTTCTCTGCTTGGCTGATTAAAATGTCAGTATCATATCCTCAGTGTGAACTTCACACGCTGGCTGATGGACCACATGAGAAAGGGACTTCCCTTTCCTCTGCACGTGGGCTAAAAGAAGGTTCTGTTTCATGGGAGAGGGGCTTTTATTCTTGGTTGTTTTTGTTTTGATTTGAGGAGTTTTGTTGTTCTGTTACGCTGTTGTTATGACAAATACTAATCTTGAATAGCTCTTTGACATTCAACTGCAGAAATTTTAGGTTGGCATCTGTAGTGTTTATAGTTAAAATTACATAGTCTTCCATAGATGTGTTTCTAGTTCCTAAATAGATAATGTGCTGTTCATTTCAACAATTAGAATTATAAGACTGAAATACCAGCTCAAAGGGTAACTTTGAGTTCCTTTGAATAGGTTGCTTAGTTTGTTTTCTGGAGAGGAATGAATATTGAATTTTCAAGTTTCTTTGCATTTCCAAGTGCAAGAAGGATTTCAGTGCCAGAGACAAAAATATGGTATTCACACTGGGATGGTTCTTAACCTCTCGAGTTCCTTAGACTGAAGTACATGTAGCCCATGAATGGGCATTTGTATATCTTCAGAGACGAATGTTCACTGAGCATCCTGCTGTTCTCATTAGCAACAAAAATCATTCTTTTCAGGACTGTGTAGCCTCCCAAAGTGAAAGGTCATGGAAAACACTGCAAAATAAAGACGTTAACTTACTGCATTAAAATATGTAACTTTTAACAAGTTGAGACTTACAGGAAAATTTATTCTATTATTTAAATGTTCACTGCGATGTTGTACTAGAGCATGGCCATGTCATGTCAGCTTATTCTAGAAAAACTGATTTGTTAAGGCATGTCTTTTTCGTAATAAACTGAGCCTTTTGGCACCAAGAGCGTTCATTTGGCATGGGAGACTAAGTTTCCTAGTGCTGTTCATGTTTTTCTTTGATGCCAGAGGAAAGAGCAGGGTGAGTGTAAAATCTTGGTTGTGTCCGTGAATGATGTGATAAATGCCTGAAGCCACTGGGGAGGAGCTGGGCTGAGGAAGATGCCAGTGGCTACAAACCAAGCCAGTTCCTAAGGTAGCTGTCTTAGGCTTTAGCTCCAGTTGCAGTGTTAGTCACTACTCTATCTGCTGTTTCTTAGTAGTTAATATTGAAAATAAAGCAGGGATACAGAATTAGCAACTTCTGGAAGATATTCAGAGCCTGTCAGTTCTCTGGAGACAGCCACATGCAGCATGGTAGAAGGAAAACAAAACAAGTAGATTGGGTTACCTGTACTGACTAAATATATAGGGGCTTTTTTGCTGTAAGCTAGGCAGGGTTTTCATCACAGAGGTCAGGGTGTCAGGAACTCTTCTTTATAGGCTTATAAATTTACTCATCCTGTAGTACACAACCTCTGATTAAGATCCATTTTGTCAAATTAATTTAACAAAATGTTACTGTCATTGATGCCTTGAGGAGCTACCTAGAACAGAGGTTAGACAGTGTTAAAAGAATAAAGTAGGTATTTATTAAAAGGCCTTCAAAGGACACACTTCGGGCAGTACAAGAGCTTGGCTGAGGCTACACCCAGGATGGATGACAGATCACACATTTTCACACTTTTAGAAGTTTTGATCCATTTACATGTTAGGATTAATTGTTCAATTACCCCTTCAGGTGATGAAGTCCCATCCTCCCAGATTGCTCTCCTCAATTCACTGTTGTTTATACTTTTTGGGCCTGAAGCTGCAACAGTGTCCTTGGTTCTCAGGCTGGAAAAGGATTGTTTTGTCTAACCAAACTGTGAAAAGAACTTGCTAACGCTTTATATGAAATTCAGAGTTACATACTAATGCAGTACAGAATCTGGATAATATGAAAGCTAAAGCTTTTTTATAACTTCTACTATCATCATGATAGAAGCTCACTGTGCTAGGCAGTATGTGTTTAGGAGTGAATCCAAGGTTTTATCTTATGCCTTTTTGTCCCTGCTGTTCATTTATTTCCCTAGCAGTTGTCTTAAAACATGTGAAAATAGCAATACTTATCATGCTTGACTAATGCTTGAAAACTCCTGTGAGTACAAGTTCCACTGGCATTCATGTGGTGGTTCAATGTGTTTTCATGGTGTTCCAGTTTGATTCAGCAAGAGCTGAGAGACTAAATGGCATTTGAAGAATTGCCAAGCCTGGCACTTTCAAATGACAGATTAACATGTATGTAATGTGAACCCTTGTGCACACTTGATAGAGAACTGGTGGGCAGAGACTGAGTGTTGCTCAGTTATTGAACTAACCTCCAGTGAGATATTGTACATGTTTATATGTGTCCCTTACAGATGAAACTGTCACTGCTCTTCTTAATTCAGCTCTTTCATCATAAGTCAGCTGGCCTTTTACTGCTTTTTCATCAGAGGCATGCAAATTATAAGTATTGTTAGAGATGACAATTAGTACAGGACAGATAGCAACAGAAAAAATGACAGTGACATACCTCAGCTCTTACAGGCAAATTACATGTTAAGGTCTGGTGAACACTTTCCCCTTTTGCTAGGCCAGCTTCTGGCAACCAGGACTGTGGATGTGTGCTCCCTCTGAGCACTGTGTCTGAGGCCTGGCTGAGCACAATTTCTGCATTGCCATTACTTCATGACTTCTAAGAGTAATTTTCGATGTTCAAAAAGGAAAGTTTGGGACCAGTTATTTTCTCCTGAAAATCTCCTTGTTCTTTTGTCCATTCTGTTGATAAACTGGTAACAAATGTGATCTTCTTTATCTTCTTCTTTCAGATGCAGTATTCACAAATGGACAGGGAGTTGACTATTTATTTGTTGGAAACATAGTTTACACTGTAAGTTTATGTATCTTAGCCATTTTTGAATGGTAGAATTTCTTTCCAGCCTTTTTTTCACCACAAGAAAACGGTATAAACCTGAAGAAAGTGTGTGAGTAAAATAAAATTGATCTGATGCTGTGTATGTGATTTCCTCTCTTCCTTTTAAATCTTTTTCCCAGACATGCCCCAATAATAGCTTCTGCTCTGTCCTTCACCCATCCCTGCCTAGTTCCTGGGTTGCTACCTAAATGGTAGTAGTTTTTTGGGTGTAAAGGGGAGATAGGGCCAAGAACACCTTGGAATTTGGGAGTGTTAGTAATGCAGTTGTCTTCTTTTTTTTTTTTTTTTCCTTGCAGTATGTTGTAGTCACTGTTTGTCTGAAAGCCGGGTTGGAAACAACTGCATGGACTAGAGTAAGTACTTTCCAGTATCTTTCATTTTACTAGCACACCTTCTTCCCTAATTAGTATTAACACAGATAAGAAGTACTAAAAATCATTTGAGACGTCAGAGTTTTAATTGGGTGTTTCATGTAAGGGTAGACTGCTAAGCTCCCTAAGTACGGAATGTCAGAAGAATGAACTCGGAGATCACACGATATCTGGGATGAAAAAGGGAAGCCTGACAGAAGTGGGAAGAGTACACTAAAATACACTACAAGTGTATTGTCAACATCTCTGCTTAAAAATTAGGAAAATTTTGCATTAAATCAATATACTACTGCAATTGCTTAAGAAAATACATCAAGAAAATTACATTTTGTACTCTCTAGCTCCTTCAAATTTAATGCAATAGGGAATGAAAAGTGTCTGCCCACAGATAAACAACTGGGCTTTAAAAACATCTTTGAACTGGGTAAAAAGAACTAGTGATGACTTCACATTGGTTGAGTTGTTTTGTTGGTTTTGTTTAGTTTTATTGGGTTTTTTTTGAAACTTAATGTACTAAGGATTTTAGTTAAATAGTTAACTTGGTTCCCTTGAGTTATTTACTTGAAATGGGCAAGTGCTCAGTTTCTGGTAGGTGACAGAATCCAGCAAGGCTGTGAGCTCTAGAGAGTGTGAGGGACAGTGGTGGGCTCCTTTGTTGATGAACCTTCAGCACCTTTCTCGCCTCCTTTCCCTGAGCCCCTCTGAAACAATTTTTAAAATTTTGATGGAGTCCCTTTTCCTCCACAGCAGTAAGATACTTTATGGGAATCCAGTTTTCATGACATGCAAAGAAACTCTGCCCTCAAGACTTAAGATGTTTTGAGGACACGTATTCTTATTCTACCAGTTTCTTGGAGGGTTTGGCTTAGATCTTGTTAACCTCATTGCTTCTGTTAGTTGTAAAATGTTTTATTTCATTCCTCCCAGAGGAATTGTGAAGATCAATGAGCTGACATCTGTTCTGAATTTTTTAAATGAAATGCTATGTGTATGGGTTATTTAATTGTTAGGGAGATGTTAATGTTTTCTGCCCCATTCTCTCATCTGCAAATAAAATCTGGGTGTTTTTTACTGTTGCTTATGCATCAGTTCTGTGTTGTGTATCAACATTTTAAAATGCAAAAATCCTTAAATTAATCCCTTGTGCACCAGAGAAGCATAAAACCAAGTCAGCATTAGAAAGCATGTGAGCTTGTTTAGATCCTGTTTTGTTGTGAATTGTTTGATGCTTTTTCTTCTCTCCTCTTCCCTGGATATGTAATGGGTGTCTTTTCAGTCACATGGGAATAATCATGATCCCCTCATTTCTAAACTTCTTTTTAAAAGATACCATAACTTTTAGTAGATTCTGGAGTTCTATAACACTGACGTTTTACAGAGAAATTATTGTTATTTGCACAACAGTTGTGTTTAGAATCAACTTTTTTCTATACTTCTAAATCCTGTGCCATTGCTTGGAACAGTGACTCTCATCTTGAAATCTGATGTTGGTTATAGTTTCAGCTGTGAGTGAATCAACACACAGGCTCTTAAAGTTACTTGAAGAGTATTAAATTTACAACACTGAGTTAAGCCTCTTCTCCATCATCAAGTGGATTGGTTACAGGCAATTTGTTCTAGGGAGTGAGAGGGACACTGCCACTGGGGAGAACATGCTGGTTTCAGCAGAAAGCTTTAAAATAAATAACACAGTCAAAGTGTTTGGAAGCTTGGTATATCCAGTAGGTAGAGTGGAAAGAAAGACTGTGATAAGAGTGGTAACATAATTTACAATAAAATCCACACATTGAAGTTGAGTGGAGTAGCTTCATGTTACGTGTTGCCTATCTGAACACTGCAGTTTTCCCAAACACACTCATCTTTTTTCATCACTGCTTTACCACATTATAGGAACTGTTTCAGATAAGCAGGGCACATGGTAGAGCCACACGCTCTGTCTAGTTTTTATGCAAGAGCCTTGATTTCTTGTTTTCTCTCATGCATTTAACACATCTGATGGGCTCAGTTCTAGTTTTGCACATGAAATCTCCAGGGTTAAATGCAGTCATCAGTGGACAATCAACAGTGCAAAGGTTGATGGGGTGAGTGTAAGGAACATTTTCAAGCATGGCAAGCCAGGCTCTTCCAGAACACAGAAGCTCTTTTAAAAGCAGAGAAGCATTTTGGGCAGATATAAGCCTGAGATAATGAGGTTACTGTGACAACCATGAGAAAAAGGTAAAGACAGCATAAAATGAGCAAAGTCTGCTCAGCTGGAGAAAGGTGAAGATCTGCAAAACTTGAAAACTGTCCTAGAAGCAGAACGGAAAGAAAAACCTGAGTGACACAAAAAAAAAAAAAATTATGTCATTTCATTAGCATAAATACACTTCCTGCAAAATAAGGCTACGTCTGAGATTGGGTTCTCTGCTTGCTTTTATTTTTACTGGTTTTAGTCATAAAGTCCAGGAGCTAGGGAAGCACCAGTCCAAGCTATCCTGAGCCTGCTGTCCACTTATCTGAGAGGAAGACAGTGGCCCTTCCTCAGAAGAAGGTATCACATCCTTTTCAGAAAGCAGTGATGGTGCTGTTCTGCCATTGCATGGGGGTGACTTCTCTTAAAGATGAGTTCTTGCAGCAGCGGTGCAGTACTTGATCTTTGGGGAGCTGAGCACTGCAGTTGCTCACTAGGGCAGGACTTGTAGACAGAATCTTGATGTGAATTCTGCCCAGTTTTCAGAAAAGTAAGTAGACTGAAAGGGTTTTATCCCTGTTGTCCTCCAGGTTAAAAAAACCCCAAGACTTTCATTTCTTATTAGTCTTCACATTAAAACTGAATTGAGCATGTATGTAGGTATTTTGGAGTTTTTTATATTGGAGTTTGGGGCTGGGTTTTTTTCCTTAGTTTGTTTTTTTGCTTATTTGTTTTAAATGAGGAGTTGCTTATTTACTGAGGTCAGATCTCCTGGGTGAAACACAATAAATAGCAAAGTTTGAAAACAAATCTTCCTGCCCGGTGTCTCTCCAGGAAGGGGCCTATTCCCTGTCTTACTTATTATTAGCCCAGCTACTTTCAGGATTGAACAAAATTCCGGTTTTCCGAGAGTGCCTAGAAGAGTGTTCTTTCCACTGCCTCTGACATTTTGTCATATGAATGCTTCTACTGTAAGGTAGCCTCTAGTTGATCCCAGCTATCTGCCAGTCTGCACTGGTGCTGCAGGCTCCTTGTTTGTTTTCACTGTCTGTGCTGGAGAAAGCTGTCGTTTCTGAGCTGTCCTTTCTGAGCAGGTCCAGCAGTTGCAGATTAGGAGCCATCTTCTCCTCCTTTCAGAAGTCTGTGTTTATCTCACAGCAAGCAGAACATAATACTCAGACACTTCTTTGGTTCTCAGACATACTGTTCAAAAAGTCAACAGACACAGTCATCCACTAGGAAGTATAAAGCCGAGAGCTGAACAAACACACTGTGTCCACCAGCACCCGCTATGTGAATTCATTCCCATGTTCCTGAACTCATATGTAATTACTAATTAAGATTTATGCAGGTACTCCTCTGAATTGGAGCCAAAGTCATCAGCCACAGGAGTTGTTGGCATCCAGAAAAGCTGGAGCCAATAATGAGCTCAGTTGCTTGTTACAACTGAAATTACTGGTTCCATCCACTGCAGTGTAAAAGTAAAACAACTTAAATCATCCTGAACAGAAAAACAGTTTGGGTGTGTAGGAAAAATTACTTTAATGCAACTGAGAAGAAGTTTGTGCTGGATATGCACTTAGTCATTTAATATTGCTTTTATTTTCCCGTAGTGAGTCTGCAGATTAGTAAAGAACCAGTAAAGATGAAAACTGCATTGTGTATCTGTAAATCAATTAGAATACCTTTAAAACAAAACAAAAAAGAAGCCAAGTTGATCACTAGATGTTGATTGTGATAGTATTACACAACACTGAATCTTCCTCCTAGGAAGGTGAGTGATGTATATGGCTTGTATGTATACACCGCCATAAGGGATCTGTCCACGTGAACTTTAACCTGCTCCTTTGAAAATTTCTGCCTTGATTTATGTGTTGAATCTGGCATGTGCATGACAGGATACAGGAACTAGATGAGAGAAATCATGGTTCCAAGGAAAATCTGACGAGTTTGTAGAGCTCCAAATAAGATAGATTGGCTGAGAAGAGTATCTGTCTGTCCTGCGATGAGGCAAAGATTAAAGAGAAGTGGTTTATGCTGTTTGAACAACCTGTGCTGCTGGCCTAAAACCAAGAGCAGTAGACAGGCCTGAGTGAGACCAACAGAGACCTGAACAGGGAAACACTTCTGGGCTGGGGGAATGGAGGAAGTGCCGTGTGTTGACTCTGCTTGTCTCCCTGTTCCTTGGCAGTTCAGTCACCTGGCCGTCTGGGGAAGCATGCTGCTGTGGCTCGTGTTCTTCGGCGTGTACTCGGCCATCTGGCCCACGTTCCCCATCGCGCCCGACATGCTGGGGCAGGTCAGTACCACCCAACGCCCAGCACTGCGCCCTGCTGCCTCCCGCTTCCCCAGCACCCACACACTGCTGGCAGGGGGCCTCTACCTTAGTGAGAGTGCTTGCATTTCATTTTAACCTTTCCTTAATCCCCGTATTCATTTAGCTTGGTCTCCTCATGAGAAGAGCTCTCCCCCAAACTGACATCATCCGTGATTACATGCTGTGTGGACACTATGACAATTCCCAGTTTGCTGTGATGGCAGTGGGACTGGCTCTTTTATTAAAGTCTAATCCTGGCAAGATTTTGTATGTTTGACAAAATATCGTATCGTTTTGTCATGGTTTTTTTTTCTTTTTGTTCCATACGTTTTGTTTCATATTGTTGCTTTTTACCGTCATTCATTTTAAATAAACAGAATTTCCTTGAGAATAGAATGAGATGGTCAGAAGCAGAAGGAGAGCTGATACATTACTGATTATAGTCCTGGAGGAATTCTGGATTTGTTCCTTCCATGTCAGCTGAGCTCCAGGTGGTAAAACTTTTCCTTCAGTGTCATTATTTCAACCCCTGGTGAGAAGATCAAATCGCAAGCCTGTCAAAATCACTCAAGAGTCTTGTGCATATTTAAAATAGGGGGATTGCAATTAATAATTGTAACAAGGGTTTAATAATTATATGATAAAAAGTTATTTTGTAGAGGTAGAACTGCTTTCAGACTTACCAGAAAAATGTACTAGGTTGTAAGTTTAGACTTCAATGCAAAGATGTGGTTTATACAGAAAGAAGAAAAGCTATCTAATAATTTCAGGAAATTATATGCTTAGATTGCTACCCTTGTGTACTAGAAAATTATAATTATGAAGTCAAGTGATGGCAGTTAGATTTTTGAGATTACTCTCTTGTTTGTATTCCACAAGAGCAGTCAGGCATGCTTTTGTTGCTGTTCTGGCTTAATACATATTTTATTATTATGTTTTAAAACACCTAGGATAATGGAGGCTGTGATACATTTTCATGCACAGCTTTTTACAGCTGAGACTGACAGCTGACAGGCTGGGATGAGCAAGTTAAGTGACTGATAGACAAAGCCTCAGTTCTCTGGTGGTATTTCGTGGTGATCTTGCACATACAGCATAAGTAGCTCTAATTCACATTTTCATATATTGGGCAGGAATTTGACTTCACTGTCATGCAGAGTTGAGAATGACTTGTTCTCCACTGCAGACTTTAGTGCTGCCATTTATATGTCAGCCTTCTAAAATGCAGACAATATAGTGAAATGTTTTACACATAAGGGGCTAAACTATGGGCTTTAGCTTGCTGTTGCCTTTCTTTTTTTTTCCCAAAAGTGACTCTTATTTTTATTGCAACTTAAGCAAAGTTCATGTTGTGTTGGTCATCAGCATTTGCCGCAGTATATAAAACCACTGGTCTTGGAACAAAATCTTCATATTAATGAGGCTTTGGTTTTTCTTGTGTATGTTTTTAGAAAGTGTTTGTATTTAACCTTCGGTTTTATGCTCTGATTTTCTGCCATTATGACTTGAGAAGTGGTACTAATATCTTGCCAAAATGAAAATAATCTTTTCTCCTTTTTTATTAAATGGAGAACACATTTACCTTGACTGCCAGAGCAGCCAATACAGTACTTGTGGAGCTGTGTACCTGGCTCAGTAATTATCAATCTAGAGAGATGATTTTTGAATGCAAGCAGTCAGAAATAAGCTGTTTTATGGCTTTGCGTGTGCTAGAGAGGTTCAATATCATTCTACCAGTTTTCTTGTATTTTTGAGAGAAGGAGAAGCAGTACAAAAGTGGGTTTTTTCTTTTTTTATTCTCTTTTATCCTTTTGTAAAATCAAGGAAAGCTCCCAAGGTAAAGGGGGCTTATTTACCACTTGCATTAACTCCCACAAAGTCTCTTGAGTAATTGGTGGCTGTCATGAAACCAGCTCATGGTGAAATGAGCTGCGACTGTGCTAGGCTCTAGTCAGTAAAATGAGTTGCCTTGCTGCTTCCTGGATTTAAGCAATTTCTTTACCCTTGCTGTATTCTTATGTTCATTTATAAGTAATCAAGGTGTCTTTAAAGCCTTGTTCTTGTTTCAGATCTTGCTAGTGTGTTTATCTTCCAATAAACTGAACTCCAGGATATTTTAGATCCTCATACTATGTAAATCTAATAGCATTTGGAGGGAGCTGATTTTAGCTGGAATAGTCATTAGTATTTGTGCCAGCCAGGACTTTGTGCCATCAGTAGAAGGCACAGGAGGTGCAAAAGATTTTATTTTGTTGTTTCACCAAATATAGGCATGAAGCCTACAGGTTTATGACTAAGTGATACTTTGTTTCTGCTGGGGTTTGTTAAACTGTTTGCACTAAGTATTCCTTTCTCTTGCCCATAATATCTTGAGCATTCTCAGGAAATAATGCCATTTTTCTTCCTTGAGAGCAAAGGAAAGTGACTTACTTATGCTCTCTTGTCAGAGTCAACATATTTCTTCTGTTTCCACTACAATATTAATAAAGGAATACATGTGACATATTAAGAAAAAGCTGTGATTAAAATCTCAATAGTCCTTAATAAAAATTTTCCAGTAGTATGACATCTGGTACTTTGGAAACAAACTCTGTCTGCTTTGGCGGAACCTTTTCAGACACACAATTTCTCTGTAATAGTATCAGAAATAATAATGTAGGAACAAGAAAACTCTCTGGTAGCACTCTTGACTTTCCTGAATTTTTTGTATTTTTTCAAGTGATTTTTTTTTTTTATATTTACAGAGAAGAGTGGCACTGAGAAAAGTTGGTGCTTTTTTATGTCTTGCCTTTGGAGTCAAGATACTCTAATGGAAACTGATTGCTTTTGAATGGTCACTTCCAGAGGACAGTATTTTGTACAGTATATGAATCCTTTCCCACCTTTTGGGTAGTTATGACTTATCACCACAGATTTTTGAAAGCAAGTAGATGTTTGTGTTTTTTAAATGAGCTACTTACTTTGATAGTCATTAACTGAAGTGGTACAGAAATGTGCCACTCTGAAGATGTGAGTTCCTGTTTAACTATCATGTCCCTGAACTTATATGGGGCTTGTAGCTCATAACCCGGTGGTATTTTGTTGATGAGCACATTAGCCACAGTCCTGCCCTCATGCAATTTTGGGTATTTTGTTTGTTTGCCTGGGGATGGAGATTTGGTGCCCTGAAGGGAACACTGAGTGTGCTTATTTCTTGTATGAGTCATAGATATGGTGTAGCAAATATACTTCTAATGCTCTCTTCTTGTATTGATTTCTTCATTGGAACTGAAGCATACTTTAGGTTCATGGGAATAATATTATACTGTATGGAATTAAAGTCTGTGTGCAGGAATTCCCACCCTTACACATATCTAAATACCTGTAGCTGAAAGCATGTGTATGTGTACCAGAGAATACTTTGAAAGTCATTATGCTTTGAGTCTTGATCTAGACATTATCTAAGATGAAGAAAAACAGATATATTCTTTCCCCAGCTTGAGCTGAAATTTTTAGTTGGCTGGAAATTTTAGACTGGTAGGAAAAGGAGTATTCCTACCACTCCTCTGAAGCATCTGCTTGTTGATGAGGAAAGAACTACGACTTAGCTGTGACTTCATTCTTCCAGTTTATTTACCTTGTGTTTTGTGTCTTCCTCATTAGTTGTTGTTAGCATTAAGGAAATATCTTTAGGAAGATGAGTATCAGTCTCATGGTTTCTGCCTGAAGGAAAGGGGTTTTAATATGGTTTTGAGAGAGGTATGTGCTGTGGTTATTTTCAAGTGCAGGTTGGTGTTTCTAATTTTTAAGACTTCTGCTTTGTGCTGTATCTGGTCATGTTGCAGAACTGGGGTTCAGCAATCATCTTGATCTTAGGATGTCATTAGAAGGCTCATCTCATCAAAACCTCATGGCTGGAGGTTTTGATACTGGGGCTGCTGCACTTCCCAGTTAGCTGTATACAGCTGCATTTGAGAGAAGACTTCTTGAATCAAAGTCCAAATAATTTTACCACCAGCATACCTGAAACAGCTCCATGTAAGAGCCACTTTCATAGCTGTAATTGCAGGCATGCTTTTATTTCCTAGTGCTCTGCACATCCTTGACAGAAGATACTTATTTCTTTTCCAGTTAAACTGTCAGATTCTAGCTAGGTTATTTGTCTGCTTATGAAGACTTTTAAAGAAGCTGTGCATGTGCTTTATCTGGGTTAAAGGTGCTTTTAAAAAGATCCCAGTAATGGAGACCTCTGATTGATTCCATGCAATGTGACAGTAGGAGGACTTGCTTGTTTTAATGGTTTGTTAAGAAGGCATCTATGCTTCTTTTAGCAAAGCTTCCCATCCATCTGTGTGTAAGGCATTAACAAGGTGGGCTTGCCTTGACCATTGCACTATTGTTGGCTTTTGAGGGAAGGAGGTGATGTAGATAAAGGGTGTGATGGACTCAGGTTGCATGGTCAGTTTTGTAGTTGACCTTCGATCTGAAGCTCTCTGAAATCTTGCTGCTTGAGTTCTTACCAAAGCATGTGAGAAAACGTCATAGTTTTCAAGACTTGGAAACAACACTAAACAACTCCCAAAAATCCTAGAGGCAAGATATAGTAAACAGGTTTCATATTACTGCCCTTCCAAATCCACTCTGCAAAGTTGACAGCTTAATGTATATTTTTGTGTTTTCCAGAATATTTTTGTCTTACTCTTTACATTTGAATTGGTTTCCAGAGGTCTCAGTTGTTGTTCTCTGTGGCTTCTCATATTTCCACAGTTTGGTGCACGTTAGAAAATTGGCTGTTCTGATTGTGGTTTGTTTGTCTGCAATCAGTTGCACATTACATTGTGGTGTAAATGTTTTGGTTGGTGAAAATGCTTCATCCAGCTGTTATGTGCAAATCAGACTTCGCCTGCAGATTGAAGTCCTTAATGCCTGCTGATCATGTTTGTTTTTATTGTTATGCACAGAGGTCTCCGTGGCACTTGATGTGGTTTTGGAACGTTTTCTGC